GGTGTGGGTAATTTGCACGAGTTACATGTTTAACACTGGCGCACAGTCAGTGGTGAGTCGTTGTAGGCCCTGAAGTTAGTTTTCTTTCGTTTATACTTTTTTCTTGATTTTTAACGAAAAGGAAAGTTTTTTAACGAAAAAGAACAATTTTTGACAATTTGGTTAGTATGGTGTATTTTAAGAGATGTATGATGTAAATATTCGAAATAAATGTATTTACATAAATATTATAACCCAACAACGGCTTTTTGCGTAATTCTTTTAACGACGATAATGTGAGTAGAGTTAATGGAGCAATATGGTCCCGACCATGCTTTATCACTTTTGCTCTTAGCTTATTTGTTAATCCTTCGTGGCGGCACGATATGCATGCAGGAACACGTTTAAGTGGTCGTATAAAAGGGCTACGGTATCATAACCTATAAGCACTTAACGAGTACTTGGCGCACGTTTCACTTTCCGTGAGAATAAATCGAAAAATAATGAAGCATTGTTACTTTCTTTTTATTAAATTCCTTTAAGGTGTACTCGTATTGATTTATGTTCTCGAGAATGTGTAGGGAGAGATTCACGAGCGCGTTATATTTGTTACTATTTGAGACTCGTTCGAATGTTATTACGCACTATGAATCCGCGCACGTCGAAGTATCAACCGAGAAATATTTTTCATGCAGATTGGATACTTGGAAAGCGTTTCGTTCGAACTTTCCTTGTTCATGCTCTATCGAGATGGTTTTTTCCGCTGGTCGTGATAATGAGAGAAGAGCTGCGAGCGACAAGTGCATTCAGGTCCTGCATGGTCCTCGGCAAACAAGAACTTTTGAGCAAACAGGATAATCGCGAGCAGGTGTAATGATAAGTTTTATTCTCAAAGGCATCCCGCTGTTTTATCATAGGATTTCTTCGTCGTGTAATACTGTGTTTCTCTATACCGTGTAGTACTACGTTTTTTTTCTTTTTAGCAGCGTAGTAGCCCGAAATTTTTTATATAATGTAATACTACGTTTTATTATTAATTAATATTATAACACATGCTTAAACGTGAATTCTAGCTGCGTTGTATAATGCAGTGTATGTATATGGTGAGCTAGCGTATCGAACAGATGCTGGCCTGCGACATATCGCGAGCACCGGCTCTCGCGGCTGTATTCATCGGTATGCCTCGAAACCTGCAAGACAATTGAAGCCAGTCGAACCAGTTAAGCATGCCCGTTGTATCGGACACCCACGCAAAATGCACTTCGCCTACGAGGCGGTATATTGTTTCCTTTCTTCGAAAATAGAAGCGGTATACGCATCCCCTCGACTCTCTTTCTCTCTTAAGCTTGTTGTGTATCCCTTCAATGCATCGCGCCGCTGTCTGCTCGCGCGTTGGGTTTAAATAGGAACAGCCACATTGAACGAATAAGGCATAGCATGCAGGTGCAACGCAGTAAGGCACAACAAACTGCAGGTACACGACCGTTCACACACATACACACACACACACACACACACAC